GTGTGTGTGTGTGTGTGTGCGCTCCCAGAGCTGCGAGCCTCTGGGTCCCCTTGGCTCAGTGCCAGGGGACAGCCTTGACGTCAGAGCATTCACCAACTCCCTTTCAACCTCCTCCTCCTCCTCTTCCTCCTCCGTGTTACTGTTCTCGTCTTCTTTGCATCCAAACAGACGTTTCTTTACCCCCATTTTTCACATCCTGCTCTGACCTCTGACCCCCCCTCCCCGCTCCACTTTCCCAGAATCCTCCTGCCTATCTGCTTCAAACTGATGCCCTTCATTTCATTAGCAGCCAAGTTAAAGCAGACATAAAGATAAAAGACAGGAAACGTTCTGTTTTTATTAAACTTGGTGCTAATCTGACACATTTACACTGGTAAACTGGCTGTTTGTCTATAGCAGTAATTAACTGATTACATTTATATGTGACTAATTATTAAATGAGCATAATGTTAGACCACAAAATCTACACTCAGATAATACCTGTGTTCATAAACAGGGCCCAGTATTCAAGTTGCTTTAGCTTGTCTATAGTCTCTGCTGCAACTGCAAGCCACTTTGCAACCCACATCCAGCTCCAGCTGCTCCTTGTGTTGTTTTTAACATCTTTTATTTTGGAGTTTGGCAATCATACACTTGTTCTTGACTGGCCTATGTTGTTATCTGGGCTGGATTATCCAATGGGCATACAGTATACTCATGTACAGCTTGGTGCCCATTCAAGAGCCAAATGACACCAGAACTGTTCGATGTTGAAACCATATATTATCGAAACAGATATATTTCTTTATCATATCAGTTACATAATTAGTAGAATACGGTAGTCCGTATTTTACCTGACACTTTCTCCCCTACATTACAGAGACTAGTGGTCTCTCCCAGGTATAACAGGAAAACGGGGGGAAATGGCATGTGTAACTTTTATAAAATTGCCATTTTTTAATAAACAAACTTAGGATGAAAATATTTCCCTTAACTTTAAAGTTGTTGAGACGTTCAGTGCGGTGAGATGAAAGGTAATCCGGAGGTTAGCAGCTCACAATCACAATCAGATTTATTAGCTAAAAGTTTGACTGGAGCCAATCAGAGAAGCAAGTATCCATCAAATATTATTATTTTACTTACTAAATTTTGACAGATAAACAATGTTTACTCCTCTGGGCTCTACTTCATCACTGTTTCAACATCCATCCAGAAGCAGTACTGTGGTGCTGTCAAGAGGTAGGTACGGTCTCGCTAGTTCAAACTATTCTGTGTATATGTATGCAAACACTCCTGTATGTCGGATTACTGAAGAAAGAAAAGAAGGAAGACGGTGGACGACACCACGAAAGGCAATAAATACACAAGGTAATGAGGCTTCCCTTTAAGGAACACAGTGAAGGAGAAAACCCAAGAGTGCAAACACAGCAAACCCAAACAGAGACAAACTGAAAACACTGTGAGCGATAATCCCCACAAAAAACCCCCAACTCTGTGTCAAGACCTTGGGACCATGATAGTTTTGAAGCTTTCGCTAACACAGATATTTTATCTGAAGTTCAGAAACATGACAACATCTTCTCTCACAGATACCTGCTCTTCCTGTCTTAGGGTTTCCACCTATGTGCACAGGAGTGTGGGGACGTCCCAAGCCAAAACCATATCGTGACTAGAAAACCTTCTTCTGACTATAGTTATCTGTTTCTTACTAAACTAATTTTGATACGTGATCCAGGCCATCTTGCTTTTTGTGTGTGGTTTGATCTTTAGCATTATTCTGCTATTTAGCCAAATTAAACGCTGCTTTTATTTGTTCGAGCTACACAAATTGTGCGCACGTCTGTTGTAAAATGGTATGGCTTCTCAGACAGCAACTAATAGAAGCATGTTTACATTTAGGTTCTTCCATTTCTCTGATCCAGCTGAGGTACTATATATCAGGGGAAAGTTGGACATGGATGACTTGTATAAAGAACACCATGTAACGGATCCACGCTTGCAGGAAAGTGTGGCTAGAAGAATCTGGGCAACCTTTCTTCAAGGCAGAAAGACACCAAGTATGGCTGCCGTTGGATGTTTTCTCTTCTGAAATTCCTGTTACAAGTGCCTTTGTAGAGTTTTTCCTTTTTGGGCTGACCAACAGAGCCGGTGTGCTCCTTATTAACAACGGGTTGCACCACAACAGGTGGTGCTACATGTTTTTAATTTTTTTTGTTTTCCATTGCCTTTCCTGACATAACCCCAAAGGGATTTCTGTCTCCTCCCGGGATGAACTCGGGATCTTTCGCTTGTTAAACCACCAAATATGTAAACCAGCTACACTACGGCGCTCTGCACAACTCATAAAGTGTGAAATTCAAGTCGAGAGGAACTTTGGATACAGTTGTAAGAAGTTGTACACCTATGCACTCCAGGGGAAGGCCGTGTTGGAATCTGCATGCTCACACAAAAAAGTACAAAGTGAAGAAGAACATCTAAGGTAAGATGAACTTTGAGGCTATAGAATTGACTGTTTGTGCTGTTTCCAGCGTGGTGCTAGATTGTAATGCTAAACCAGTGCAGTTCTTGAGTTTCAGCCAGCCTCTTTCCAGGGTGCTTAAGTGCACAGCGTGTGTGGGCATACCTGCTTTTGTTGCAGTGTTGGACAAAACTGAAAAGATTCGATTTTTGTTCCCGTTTCCTCCTGACTTGTTTCAGTTTTTTATGTATTCTCTTTACATTTTGTGCATTTTAAAGTGCAGTAACTGAATTGGTGTTAGCAGGATGGCTTTATGAACTTTAAGCGAATAATGACTTTTAGGTACAGTATATGGTTATACTTCAATATGTGGTGCTAAAAGAGAAGTTTGAATATCTTAAATGTGGTGTTTGTTTTACAGTACTGCCATGTTCATAACGGTTGCTTGAGAAAAAATACGAAGCGTCACCTAAAGTGCAAAAGCAGGAACCACTGAGTGTAATTCTATTTAAAATAAGAATGGATTACAGTTATATGAACACTTACAATGTGTGGGAGAGTCGAACTGTATCACTCGGCCTTTTAGCTCACCCTCAGTTCATATAGTTAATAATGCATCAGTAGTGTAGTTTAAGCCCTCATAAGCATCTTTTTTTATTCTCTTTGTATGCTTTGAAAAGGTGTCATTTAAATAAAGGGAATGACATATCTATGGCTGAAATGCTGGCTTTAGCTAATTTGACTACATGTCATTTTCCATGTAATTGTATTACAGAAGTAAAATGTAAAATGTTACATTAATGAAATGCATTCAGCATTAGCGTTAGCCAAGAAGTTAGCTAATGCTATTAAAAGTTTTCACTAGCAAACCAACAAGAGCAACCTAAATTTGGCTAACAGGAAACCTAACTTGATCATATATTCATTCTATTGTATCCATTAATAAAGAAAACACCTGAAATGATAACCATTTTAACATAATACTAGAGATACATGTTTGCTATTAGCTCGTCAAACTGTCTGCCCAAAAACACTTTTCTGTGATTTTGCTTTTTTTCTACTTCTGTTGTATTTTATTCAAAATCCACTGTGTTTAGTGTCCTTTAGCGCAATTTTTGTATTTGCTGATATTTTAAGTTACAGTGTGTATGACCTCTCAGAGCCACCGTACTGCTGTGTGTCATTTTAAAAAGTAGCGATACATTAAATCAAACTTTTTGACTACCATAATACTGAAGGCTGTGCCCTACATTAATAATCTCTTTGGTTTGCTAGGATCTGGTTACCCTAACCGTAGCACTGGTCTTCAAGTGAGGATGTAATTGAGCTGAAGCTGACACTTTCGTAATGCTAACAAAAATGACACATTTCATGAATGTTCATGTGAAAAAATGATGTTGTGCCTAATGCACGTAAGTAGATGAGGACAAATTTTAGAGGAACAGTGCAAAAGATGTGGTGACAGAATGCAAGGGAGGCAAAGACTAATCTGGATCATAGCTTTTCAAAAACAAAGCTATTTGCACACATTTTAAAAATGAGGTAGCAGTGATGTTTAGAGGTGCTGGTAGGCAGGTTTTGCTACATCAGGACAGAGCTGGGCCGGCTGTAAGCTGCACGCATAACAGTAATCAACCTTCTCATCCAACTCTGGGACACAAAAACCTGTTGCTGACCTTTTCCTTTACATGTCAGAGATCTCCTAGTATGAGAGTTTGAAACCAAAAGGACTCGAGTTTAGACCAACTTGTCAGATGTGAAAAAAAAAAAAGTGTGTGAATCTTATCTAGATCTACATTCACAGTAGATATTTAAAGGAACAAAACCAGCTCTTTTATCCCCTCTTGTATTAATTTGACAGAATAACATGCTAAAATAGAGATTTTCTTTCTTCTTTTTGTCCTGGCAAAAACAAGCAGAAAGCCGTCCTTAGCGTGCCAGAGGCTGTTGAGAAAGGTGTTTGTGTAAAAATCTGCCACTTGAGATCTCTGAAACATATGAAGGGAGTGAGATGGAGCAGAGCAGTGCGGGGGAGGTGGAGGAGGAGGAGGAGGAGGAGAGGAAATCCCTTGTTTCATCCACCCACCTCTCCTCCAGCACGTACCCTTCTTGAATAGGTAAAGCGGCAGCTGCTCTCTTCCTCCCTGCCCATATAAGGCAGAGGCTTCCGGCACGGTTGCCATGGCAGCGCATGGTTACCTCGCAGCCCGTGGCAACTGTCTCGGCCACAGTCGCAGAGACGTGGATGCAAGCATTCACACACACACAGACACACACAGCTATACATGTTAACCCATACCTGCCTCCACCTACTCACAAACAAAAATACTACAGAGAGAGAAAGAAAGGGCAGAGGAAAGTCAACAACTTCACACACAGCCAAAGCTAACACATTATTGGCTGTGTAGCCCGGTGCTGCCTACGCAAACTACTACACTACAGCTCCAGAGCTGGCCCTCTGAGACTCATAGCCTCCATTAATTATCAGTTTATGTGAATGTGATATCAGATTTCTGGCCACTCGAACCCCCTGCCTGAGACGACATGTTATAAAGCAACATGGATGCATGATTCAACAAAACGGCACCACTTTGCATTCAAACGCGCCCGGAGACAAGTTGCCTTTAAAACAAATCACAAGTGCAATTCAAACCCAAATTGAATACCTTGTTTAGGTGGAGCTGCTGCTGCTGGAACTGCTGCTTGTGCTTCTCCAGGAACTGCTGGTGCTGCTGCTGGACCACCAGCTGCTGCAGTGCCAGGGCCTGCGCATGAGCCTGGGCCGCGGTCCCCTGGGGCAGCGGGGCCGACTGGGTCCTCCCCAGGGGCCGGTGCTGCCGCTGCAGTTTGGTCATGGACGCTGCTGACGACATAGACAGGCCGCTTACACCTAAGACACAAACAAGGCAGACGTTACTACATAAGGCAGAGCAGATACCAAAGCATTGTTTCAAAGTAGTCTGGCAAGGCGCCTGATTTCTCAGTAACAGCAGCAGCATTGTTTCAGGCCAATCCGGGCCCTGCGCTTGATGCATTATCTTACAACGTCGCTTCAGTTTTGTGCAGCTTTTTAGGAAAATGTGCTGAAGCAGTGTTTTGTCAATGACGTGTCTTAAAGTGGCTCTGAGCACCTGAGCGACTATTTAGACTAGGTGTCATAATGATTCATGGTTACTTGAGTGTGCAGTCTATTCTGGCGGTTAGCTCAGGGGAAATATGACAGCATTTCCAGAGTGGCGACCGTGTTTTTCCAAATTAAAAATCAGAAGCGAGAATCTGAACAATCGGATCGTGAACAGGTTCACGTCTAAGCAGAGGGGCGGGGAAGCAGGTAAAGTCCAGCTGGCTTCGATTACAGCTCACAGGAGTCTCGGTTAAGACTTCCCAGACTGGAGCGAAAACACTTGAGGAAAATCCCGAACTCTTGGTATAAACCGCACTGATGAGAGCGCTCATATTCAAGATAAATATGATGTGTTCCTGATGTTGTCGTTGGACCTCGGATTAGTTAGCAGATGTATTTGCGAACCAAATAAAAACAACCATCTGTGCTGCAATACTGTGAATCTCCCATTGTAGTGACACGAGATCATCTCAGCAGCTCAGATCAGCTTGCCGAGTGTCGCAGCACTGAGAAAAAGTAAGAAAGCAGACGCGGAGCCTCAGAGGCACCACATCGCTGTGCTTTCAAACCGATAACTTAAAGAGAAGGAGCCGGGGAGGAGCTGACATGAAACACAAGAGTTAGTGTTAAGTTTTCATGGTTAAAAGCGTCTTTCTGATAAGTAGCTTGTTGCTGCACGTAACGATTCACACTCTCCAGCTCTTGGCCTGTGCGTGGGCATTGATACGTCCCTGTCTGTACGTTTTTGGACAAGAATACACGCATTCTCATACGTGCGTCTGTATCTGCGTCACTGCTCATTCACTGCTAATGCCCCACTGAAAATAGACGCAGTGTGGTAGTGAGTGAATGAGCCGATGAGAAAGGGCACACAATGGACCCATGTCATACTCAGACAGCATATGCTGACATATGAAAGGAGCTCATTAGGTCGAGCTAATGAATGGACGTCTGTCAGTGTGAGGGGGCACACAGC